CGCATATAAATGTTTTAAATATTGAAAACAAGGATGACATAAATGATAATGCAACAACATAATAGGACATTCAGTAGAATCGAGAAAGACCGCAACTATTAGCAAAAATATTCTCTTACACTTCATCTTTCTTTTAGAAGAAATAGAGTCTGGCTACTCGCTTAGCAGTTCCAATCATCCTTCTGAAACGACGATACTGAAAGACACAAAAATTAGGAGAAAAATGAGCAACGCAATCCACCTGATGTGTCAGCTTACTAATAGACGACGGGTTACATTACAACAAGGTTAATACATTACTAACCGATTCCAGAGCTAAACCGATTGTTAATACAATCGACCATTTACCAACAATAAAGTTACAGGAGCTATCAACAACTTTGATTGTATCATTCCTAGAGCATGGATAAATATGTCGAGAAAACTTGAGAGCATCCAGCTATTTGAGCTGCAACACTGGACTGAAAGAGACAAAAGAAGTGAGTGTCATAGGATTAGTACCTTGACGGACGTGAAAGGTCGATGGACTGGAAAAGAGTTGACTGGATCCAAGAAGTTTAATTAATTGTTCCATTTGTATCTGAAGAGAGTTTGTTGATTCTAGAGTGTTCCAAGTGGAGCCAAGTTGAACTACAGTAGATTTAAATGTTGCATTAAAACCCTTAGGAGAGGAGTAATTGGCAGACGGTTTGTGTAGAGGGTTTTCATAGAATTTCGAACATTTATCTCGAGTATGGTTGGGTTTGTGACAATAATCACAAGTGGAGCTGGTGGTTCCAAATGGCATGGACAAGTGTTAAGTGATATTAGTTGAAACTATTCATTTTGAGAAATTGGTCAAAATTATTAACGATTTAAAATGTACTCCAGATTTCGGATTCCTAAGATTTCAATCGAGTTAAGTTTATAACATTCTACGTGTCAAAACAATCAATTCAATATGTATACTATAAATAAATTATGACCGATTTCAGAGATAAAATTTGAAATTTATGTTTATTTAATTCAATTAAACCTAACTATTTTCTGAAATCCTATACCATTTCTACTCCCCACCGACCTCTAGCATCATTTATTAGTTGATTCACTCGAATGGCGGCTTCCAGAGCCTCTGAATTCTCCCCCCATTTACGGCAGAGACTTAATCACACTCGACAAAGGAATTTCGCGAGACCAGTGAGGGTGAGTGGCAGTGTGGTAGCTGCAGTTCACGGTAAAGAACTCTTTCACGCTAATATCGGCATTAGCTTCCTTCCCCACGACGTTCTTGTCGGCTCTATTGAACCCGCACCTACAGCACTGTAGCCAGAGTCAGGATCAAACACAGACACACGACAACGAGCAGCAAACGGCTAGTTTTTTTAGGTTTCAGGACAAAATCGGTAAGTGTGAAATGGATTTTAGCGACATTTAAAACTTTCGTTTCCTTTCTCTTGCTTTCATTTTGAGATTTGCCACAAATCATACATCCTTTTTCATCTTTGGTCTCCATAGCGAAGACGAAGTTGAGTCGAAAGCAGCAAAGTTGGTTTGTGGGACCCCAAAAAGGATTCTGACACGAATTAAATAAGGTTAAGAGGGAGTAAGCAGAGTAAATAAGAAGACAGAAGAATCTTTGACAGATTTGGATAATGTCTGGTTAAAAGAGAGTTATCAACTAATACCAATCATGTTGTGACCATGTTGTTTGTTTTGAGCAAGCCAAAAAGCAAAATCGCTTCAAGATGGACTCCTCAACGCAATGGCACGGACGAGATGATACCAAAACAAGAGAAGATGACTAGTTGTAACCAAAGAAATTGTGAAAGCATTAGGTCGCAGGAAACAAACAAAACAAATGGAACATTCAATGGAATGAAACATTTGGACAGAACATTAGCGATTCCTTTAAAAGTAAGAAACGAGCGAGCCAATCCGTTCAAATGAAAGAGATGAGCGAGGGTTGCGGCTCAAAACCCTATCACCTTCGCTTCGAGGAGAATAATGGAAGTAGCGACCAAAGTGAGCTCAAAACGACTACAAATAAAGAGTTAGGGATGGTCTTAATGGGATGAGCGATCTAAATGAGGGTTGCGACTTGAATAAAGAGTGAGGGTTGTAGCTCAAATGAAGAGCTAAAGAACACCTTGACGGCACAAACGACCAAAGCAAGCAAAGAGCGGCCTCGACCAGGTGCTAAGGCAGGTTCTTATACCATATGAAGAAAACCAGCCATCTCGTATTCCCCAATTGAAAACATCTGTTAAAAACTTATATAAACTCCAATCACTAAAGGTTAGGAAGATTTTTGATACAGAGAAAATCATGCAATTAGATTACAAAAAATATCTTTATTAGTTTTCTTATTATCAAACTTTCTAATATACAACCATTAGATCTATTACTTCCCATAGCAAATTCAAAATTTTGAATTATTTTAAAAAGACCAAATGCTCTAAATTTGACGTTATTGTGCAAATTCAAACTCATCTGATGTTAGGAGTCTCCAAAATTTAGGTGGTATTGAAGACAATGCTAACATGTCCATCAGTCTTAAGAGACACGTTGATCAGTGTCATGAGATGTTGCAGTTGAGAAATAAAATAAGTTTTCTAATCCACCTGTCTTAAAAGACGTGTTGGGCCTTCAATGAGCCAACAAAAACCAAACACAAACACAAGTTTCTCCAAAAAAACTTAAATTTTCTTGTACAACACTCAAACTTTTTCGAACGGGTAAGTTCACCAGCTTTTTATATCTTTGTGAGAGAAGTAGAATTGTTGATGATGGAAAAACTATGAATTTTGCGGAACACATTTTCTCTCTTGGTTAAAGAAAATGATAGAGAGAGGTTTATTTTTAGGTGCCTTGGGCTTGGGCTTGCGATGGAGGTGAATGGATGCCGCTCAACTTGCAGTTCAAAAACAAAAGAGGCAAAGAAGAATAGTGGTTCAGTTTCAATATGATTTAGTTCCAATAAGAGGAACAAAGGGTTTGTGGTTTCGTGCGGCGTCAGGAACAGGATCGAGAGGATGAGGCTTCAATTCACTAGTGGCTATGTCCATGAGGGGCCATGCGAACAGTGAAGCTAAGGATTCGTCAAGCTAGGGTGAGAGGTCGGAGCAATATGTGGACTAGGTTTCAATATGTAGTAAAGAGAGCAAAAGGGAGCAGGATCGTGAGATGTGTGAATTGGTATGAGGCAAGACTTCAGGTTGGGCATAGAGGAAGGAGAAAGATGGGAAGTGTGGAGATCATACATTGAAATACCATTGCATGCTGCGAAGTAGAGAAAGAGGAGGGATGAGCGAATCAAAGAGATGCGAAGGGGCCGGAGAGGTATCATGCAAACACAAGAAGAGAGAGCAGTAATTGGTTTTCAAATGCTTTCGAACATACTGGAAGACGATGGATACCATAGCCAGCGATCTACAATTTCTCTATTATGCAGGAAAATTGAGAAAAGCAGGCAGTTCGAACCAAAGAAAACGAAGAGAAAAGCACGGAGGTCCTAACGAGCGAACAATTTTTAGAAATCAAACGATTGAGGGCAGAAACAGTTCATGTTTTAAATTTTGTTTTATTTGATCTTACAATATTTTTTAATTTTTACAGTCAACACTGTGTTATAACTAACGGGTGGAGAATTCACTTCACGGTACATTGCTATTTAACAAAACTATCACAGTAATGCAAGAAATGGTATGGTTAAAATGCAATCAGTACATTTCTCAAATTCTAGTTAAAAAAGTGGGTATCGTTGAAGGAACCTTATAAATGAAAGCATATGACAAATGCTCATTCTGATAATTTTTAATCATATAATACAACTTTCCTAGGCCATTCACACATCTTAAACATTATATTCAGACAAATTGTGCCACAGATCTGCTCAGTTAACAAAGCATAAAAACTTAAGAATAAGGTTATTTAATACAGCTAATGTGATGTGTAGTATGTTTACATGCAAAAAATAAAAAATATAAATTGGAGATTCAAAGACTAATACATACAAATTCATTTATAATGGTGATACAGAAAGTAGACGAGGTTTTCAAAATGTCAAACTACAATTCATTCGATTTTACTATAAGAATTTTGCAAATGTTTGCACTATATATCAACCAAAAAAAGAAAATAATATTTACCTCTGCAGCGCAAAACTATCACAGATTCAAGAGTAGATGCACACAAACTGAGAGAAAAGAAGCAGCAGATAAAGTGCTTCCAATAACAATCACTAAGGAATATGATCGCCTTTATAGCACAAGCCAATGATGCCAACAAACACTTAGTTTGGGAAAAATAAAAGGAAAGATAGCGTATAGTAAACCCAATTAAACAGAACCTTTTTTCTTCTCTTTGAAGAAATGGTCTATGGACAGGATCTATTATCTAAAGACAAGTAAATTACATTCAGGACAGCATGACAAAATTCAAACTTCCAAATTAACCAAATCTATCACACAAGAACAAAAAAATCAGCCAATAAATGTTATCATATTGTTAAAATAAACACATCCCTTGTACACTATCATTTAAAAAGGGAAAGCACCAAAAAAAAATTTTCATCTACTTGACTAATTTTCCACAGCATACCATTTATAATTACAATGAAATCGTGAAATAAAAGCATGATAAGGTAACTACCATCTATTCATTTGCATTAAAAAGAAAGCAGAGTATGCGGCAGCAGCTGCATGAAAGAAATTTGGTTGTAAAATTCAAAGCAAGTTTACATCATTTAAGTTTCAAATACAACTTAAAAATCAAAATTATAAAATATTGTATGTCAACTAAATTACTGATTTTAGATAAAAAAAAGTACAAAATGAAGAAATGAAACGTATGAAATAATGAGCAACCCCACGGAGTGTAGTACAAGTAGTAAGAAATATAAATTAAAATCACACACAGGAAAGTTGTAATAACATACAGTAGGTCGCATAAAGTCTGTAAATTAAAACTAAACATTAAATGGTATGAGAAAAAAAATATTGAAATTTGATTCAAGCACTTACAGCATCCAAAGTTTTGTATATTGGAGTGATAATTTCGTTCAGGTATGAAACATAACCATCACTACTGGTACAGCATTTTGCTTGAACAGCTTCAGGTTGGTCTAGTATTGCATCCAAATCTTTCGCCATCTGCACAAAAAAGATAGATGAAAAAAGTATTCTAATGAAATGCAGCATATGCATTAAGGAAAGAGAAAATAAAAACCAAAACAAACATTGTTTTCACATGAAAAAAAAAAAAAAAGAAAAGACAGGAAGACGCAATGCAGAGAACTAAACTAATGGCATAACAACATTGAAGAAAAGCGAAAATCATAGATCCAGGCACTTCAATGTTTGTTAAATAATTCTTTCAATGCACATGGAATGATAACAACAATATGATCGCTCAAAATACCAATATAAACTAGAAAAACAAAATGCATATGTCACTAGGATGACAAACCATACAGTAACAGAGCCAAAATATTACCAATCAGTAACAGAGCCAATATAGACCCATCTAAAATCCGACAGATATTTGTTGGCTATTAAAACTTAAATGTCTTGGGAACTTCTATAAAGGATAGCAAATAACATGGTATATATATATATAGGATTAATAAGAAATTAGAACAGAGCCATGCAGACTAGTGAGCTCTTCAGATTGGATTGTGATAGGAAAGAGATGAACTTTCATAGAGAACAAGGCAAAAAAATTATTTTACTTCACAGAGAGGTAGGATACACTAAAAAACCCTAACTCTAACACCTACAATTTGATAGGAAGTCGATCTCCCAACCCTAACCTAAAATTCAAGACAACAATACCACATAACTATAACATATTAGTCATACTTATAACACATAATAATAATTGACAGATGACTAAATTATCCCTTTTGTCTTAAGCTTAACATAAGTCTTCAAACTATTTTGGCGGGCAACGACTCAATGGAGCACAAGGTCGTCGGTTCCATATGCGCAGATCTAACATTACTCCTCCCCCCTTAAAATCACATTAACCTCAAGGTGGAAAACTCCTGTTGGATCAAATCGTATGATCCCCACTCATAAATTGACTTTAAGTCTGACTCTCGTCATCAACACTAGATTGAAATAATTGATGGATCATTGACACTGTATGAGGACTACACCTAATCCATTGCCTAAAGTATTCATCACAACCATGAAAGGTTGGTTGAAATAAGATAAAGACAACACTAGCACACTCATCATGGTATTTTTTAACTTCTCAAAAGTTTGGGCAGCCGCCTTCCACCTCTAAAAGTCATTCTTCATTAAAGTTTTTGTCAACTGTCAAATAATCGAATTGCAACCCTTCACGAACTTCCGATAGTATTTTGTAGGTCTCTGAAATCCTTTGAGCTCGTTCTAAACTTTAGGTAGTAAGCACTTCAACTTAGTCATCGCCTTCAATAGATCTGACGACACCTAGACCATACATAAAATGGGATCACCATGAAAAGCTATCATCTTATCCTCCTCCTAAAACTCTATTATCAGAAGTTTTCAATTCATAATACCAAAGTTAACCCAAGTAACAATAAGAAACCAAATATTATAGTTGAATTCAAAATTAAGGAGATACAACACACAAACAAAAACAAAAGTGGCGACCGACTCCACAACACAGCTAGGATTGTATCCCGAAGGGGTGGTGGTTGCGTCTCCGGGATGGAATGGTGTTAGGGGGCAGCAGTAGCAAACAAAATGATAGTACATGGTGCAGGATGGTTGCCGAGGAATGGCGGAAAACCAGAGATAAGGTTGTGGCCAGACCATGGGATGGTGAGTGTAAGCGGACGGTTGTGAGACAGCAGCAGGCTACATGGGGTGATGTGGCAAGGATGTTGACCGGTAAATGGAGGAGAATATGATACAAGGCAGCAGCAACAAATGAGGCTCAGGATGGAATGGTGGGTGAGTTGGTCGTTGCTAGGGTGTTGGATGGCTGGTTGAAAGAAAGGTGGGCTACCAGAAACAGTGTGAGGGAAGGCTGGTGGCTGATTCGGAAAGAGGATAGTAGAGCTTCTGGGAGGGAGGTGACTAGGAATAGGAAAACTGTAGGAAAGAACAGCAACGGTGGTTGTTCTGGGCGGCTACATTGAAGAATGAGTAATAGAGAAGTGAGGGGCGCAAAGAAAGAGAAAATTAGAGGATAATCACCATCTCGGAAAGAGATATAGTCGGAGCACCACTCGCCCTAAAATGCAGCCCTATAAGGTAAAAATTGGAGACGCCAACGGCTGTCCCGACAAAATACTACAAAAAACATAATTTGAACACAAGTAAATACACATAATTACAAGCAGATAACTAAAAGGGACCCCCCTAACTTGGGCAGAACCTAGCCTCAAGCCAAGGGCTAGCAGTCCTCCTTGTGGCAACCTTGCTGAATGGGTTCAGTCGTCATTTCAGCCCCCAGGGGAGCCCCGTTTCACTCCACTAATGATTACAACCATTTCACACCCAATGTCACGTTAATATTTCCTAAATCCAAATCAAAAAAAAAAAAATCCTCCATCACCTAAATATCTTGCAGTGTTAAAATATTTCCACATTTTCATTTTTTGGCCTCATCGTGGCTGTAGCATTCCAATATAGCGCTCCACTTGTCTTGCTCTTATTAGCTCGTTCCATTAAATTTTCATCTTCAACCAACTGTCTTAATTCCATAGATTCCAAGAATTCTCGAGTTCTGAGCTAATGAAGGGTTGCTTAAATTTTGGCTACAACTAATTCATGCAGTTTCCCTTCCAACACTTCTTCTAATATCCCTCTCAAACGATCAGATAACATTTCAAATTTCTCCCTATAATACATGACAAACACTCCGTGGAATAATGCAAATAACATTTTGTGTAAATTCCCCTCCCATGTGATTCTGAAATGCTTCAACAATCGATCGTTGAATTATTCCGTTGTCATAATGGTTTATGTTGTTCTCTTCATTGTTAACTAGAATTTTGATTTGGATTCTTTCCTGTTTTGTGGCTTTAGAAACCAAAAATTTCTCTCTTTGTTCATTAATAACAAATAGATAATAATATAGATCAAACTAGATGGACAAATACTTGGAGTGGTTTCAAGAATTGGAGTAGCTTCATTGAAAGCATTCTCCTCTATTTCCTGCACTTAATAGCATCTAATAAAAACCTTTCTTTCCTTCTAAATAAATAAAATAACTGGAGAGTGCTCTTCCGATATTTTAAGACATGCAGAGGTTAACTCTCTCATTTTTCCATTAACAGTAATTATATGGATTTGTACTGCAAAAGTCAAATTACAAAAGAAAATGGAAGAAGCGCAGTTACAACGTTTTCATGTCAAATGATCAATAACAACATTATATTTCATTTTAGAAAGAAAACATTAAAAATCAACGTTAAAAAAATAATTGAAATACAGATGATTGTATGAGGATCAACAATGTATTTAGCTGCCTAAGTCTAACGGTAAAAAAAAAAGAGAGAAGCAAAAGGACCGTAAGTTAACAATTTGTTATTAATGAACAATAATTGTCTCAAACAAAAAGAATACAAAAATAGTAAAATGGTATTTATATATTACCTATCATAAAATTCAAATGTCAACCTATTTCATCCAAATTAAATGTCAACATTTTGATCAATCTTTATGCCAAACTCCATTTCGTAGTATGCTTTACTTGCTGAAAAATCTAGATCATGCCTAGGAGAGGAAGAGGGAGAGGGAGTGAGTATGTATGTGTGCGACTGTGATTGACATCTATGAAGCTCTAATAATGCCAATGCCGCCTAAATAATAATAAAGTGCTTGCCTGATTTGCTGAATCAAGAAAAATCAAGTATTCCTAACTACTAAAATAGTGGCAATGATGACTTTGTGTTCTTCATTTACTCAAATGACCAAGAATGGATATACATTAGATCACAACAATAAAATTTAAACATGAAGGAACTCTCACTCTCGCATGAAACCTCAAAAGTCTCATATATTTTCTAGTTCATGTGCTTTAACATAATTAAATGAAGCAAATTCTAACTTTCCGCCACATGCTTTTATTTTTAGTTTTGTGCGCCCCATTCCAACTTAAATTGACTATAATGATCCAAATATGTGTCATGTACATGTATATTATAACAACATTCTGTATATATGCATACAACTCAGATCTGAAAAACAGCCAACCCAGTAACTTGATTTCCTTCTACACAGCTGGAAAAGTTCAACTCTAAAGCATTCTACAAATAGAGTCAGACCATTGTTTTATAGTATCAACATACCTGTTAGAAGGCTGGTTGATTGTATCGGAAAAAGTAAACAGGAAAAATAGAAGTAAGCTGGTAGACAGTTGATCAAAACTTTGAACTGATGCAACAAGGGACTGTGTCAAACTATAATCGGATGTCAGGTAGAAGCCACAAGGTTGCTATCAAGTGAAAGAATTAATTTTAAAACATATAATGAAGATTTCAGGAGCAAAGTGAACAGTGAGTAAAAATTATCAGCTAAAGCCAAATTAGGGTTTTACAGTTTCTTAATGGTTGGCCATAGTTTGATCTAACACGCAACAACAACAACAATAACAAATCCTTAATCCCACTACGTGCGGTCAGCTACATGAATCATTTTTCTCCATTGTGTCCTATTTAGTGTCATATTTGCATTTAGTTCTAGTAAATTAAGATCACTTTTTATACAATAAGCCTAAGTCTTCCTAGGTCTACCTCTGCCTTTCTTAACACAAGTTGAATCTAAAACATCTACTCTCCTAATCGGATCATCAGATGGTCGACGTTTAATGTGACCAAACAATCTAAGATGACTTTTTCTAATTTTGTCTGTCACAGGAGCTACACCAACCCTATCACGGATATATTCAATTCGCATTTTGATCCAACAAGCAAACACCGTTAAAAACAATTTTACATAACCTTTTGTGTGAATTCTGTTCAATCATTTTCTTCGGGCCTTACCCTACTATCGACTGACATTCCTCAAAGACCTACATATTGCTTGACATTACAACTAGTGTTTCCAGAGGTATTCATTTAATCAACTAAAAAATTAATTGAATATCACTTCTTTGCATAGATAACATCAACTCCCCCATGGCTTTGCAAAAAAAAAATTGTGACGTTAATAGTAACCTCTGCTTTTTTTTTCCTTCTTGTTGCAAGAATTTTCCTCCAGTTTAATACAACAACTGTGAGATTTAAGGCCATATGCTACTTGAATGAGTTCTTTAATTCAATTTTGTTTGACTTTGACTTATGTTTCTTTAAAGCGTTCATCTTGGGTTTAAAAACTAAATTAAACTGATCCTTTTCATCACCTGCAGTTGTGTCATGTGTCTTATAATTCATGGTATTTTACTACTAGCTACAGAAAGCTTCTCTTTTACCAACTTAATTTCATAAAAATAGATAAGAGTTGGTGCAAAAATTAAAGACTGTGCATATGCTAAGATGATGCTGTGATTGTTCACTGCCTCAAATTAAACACTGTTGTAACTAATATAAGGTGCAACCCCTACATTGCTTTTTTCATCATCCATATAAGCTGTCATGGAATCTGTGGTAATGGTAATTTGGCTTGAGGAGATTTTGCGCATGAATATATTCAACACCACTAGTGTCAATTTTAATTTACTTTTCATTACCTGAATCCTGATTTTATTTCCAATTTTTCAAAATTTACCTCCAATAAACTCAGTATATTCTACGGATTATAAAAGATATGCAGCAGTTTTGAGGAAAGAAGGGTTGCTGACAGCAAGTGGGATTGATGGTAGAGGACATGGAAATTACCAAACAATAAGAAAATGATTATCTCACACAACTTTCTGAAATTCTGAAAAAAAAAAAATCAACAATAAAGGGCAGAGGCAGTCAAAATCCTTAGCGAGAGAGCATTTGCATGAATCAATACATTGCCCAGCAGAAGAAAGAGATAACCATAGTATAGTTCAAACAATTAGCTTAGAAAAAATACTTGAAGTCGACAATTACTTTGAGTGAATAAGAAATCAAACACGTAGCTGAAAACATGATATATTAATTAAAAAAGTGTTAGATGTTACATTGGAATTTAAATACAATTCGAAGCTTTAGTTTTATTTTCCTAGGTAACAGGTTCTTAAAAGTTAGCAACCACGCACAAATAGACAGCGCCACTGCCAATTTCTACAATTAATAACAGCGAAGTAATTTAGATTATAATTTCTTTAAACCATTACAAATGTAATAGAGAAGGTTTGAATGATACTTACATGGTGAAAAATGTAGCAAAGGCATTCGGGAATAAAACGAACATTGGCAGCTTCACCCCATATAAGAAAGTACAAAGAGATTAATATAATTTTTCGGCTTTTATTAATTGCTTCAAAGCTGCAAAAAAAGATTCAGTAAAGTGGGTAAGAAATTAGAAAAAATTTGCAACCAAAAACATGTCAACTTGCCTATTCCAAGCAATCCGTACGCCAATGTATCTACACCATTTGATGTAATTGTCCAATACCTTTTGAAAAACTTCATTGATGGCCTTTTCATCCATTTTCTGCATGCCATAAAAACAGAAAAATAACAAAACAATGCATTGTATTGTAATGTTTAAATAAAAACAAGAGGAAGGATGATAACACCAAGTAAAAGTTTTTTCTCATAATTTTTTCTTCACAGTCAACGCAATACTATCACTGTCTCTACTGATGCCCGGCTTTAGCCATCTTTTCACCGCAGTTCCTCTAAATTTTATTTAAATGAAAATGTGAACAAAATGAAAAGCATTAAGAATAAAATCATGTCGGCCGCCACAGTTTGAAAGTTGCTACCGTAAGTAAAAGCATGTCTGTTAGATGAGATGTAACCTCATAAAGTTTGACAGGTTTACAATCGAGCTAAACATATACCAAGGTCAAGATCAATGTGGCTCAAGAAACCATGCTAAATGCTAGCTTATTGTTGAGCTAAGCAAGCATAACACAAAAAGAGATCAAAGAAATAAGTTATAGCTTATGAAAAATGATGGATCGCATTAGAAGAAGTTCGTGATTTTCATGGAAAGATATTTCAAACAAAATGATTTTTAATGCATGTGTTGCCAAGCTATTCGGAACATATATTATGATCCCAGCTCTGAGGAAACAATGACATAAACGATTGCAGTGTCATTTATTCTACAAACCTTCTTGCCCTGGCAGTTTTTTTCTACTACATGCTGCACGACAGATAAAATTAGTATGAAAACATATGAACTTTAACCAGTTCTTCAATAAGCAATCTTATCTTCTACAATTTCAGTACATGCTTGAATTTTGATTAAATCACTGTCAAAATACATAAAACAGAATACAAAGGTAGGTTATATGCCATAGATAAATGAATATTTCCCATGAAAGACTAAATCACGTGCGATGAAACAAAATCCATCTTTCTGTCCAAAGGAAAAAGTTTATAGACTCCAATAGGGATGAAATTCTCGCTTAATCATAATGAAATAAATTATTAGAGAAAAAAAATTGTTTTTTCTTCTTCAGCTCACCTTCCACGCGCTTGGTAAGGCTTTATCACAGTATTGTGGTACTAGTCACTGCAGAACAGTAGTTCATGGTGACTCTGTCAAGAGAAACCACCTTTTCATGCAGTTATCCTACTATTACAAGGGATTCGTACCTCAGCTTGAGAAGTGTTAAAGTGTAGCAACTGCAGGAGCGCGCAAAGGGAATGCTTGGGGCAATGATGGATAAAATGAACATTCAGAAAAGGCTCAAATTACAAGGACTATATAGCATTCTAGTCCTTCAAATTTTGTTAATAAATCTTACTCCTAAGCCTTGTGCAAAAGTAGTCCTCATCATTGTAGCGACTTCTTCTCTCATCCCTCATCAAGCTGCGAGTTTCTAGAAAGGAGGCAGAGACTATGACAGGGAATCTCGTGTGATCTTCAACAATGATACAGCTCAAATGCTTCAATATTTCTAAAAAATTTCCCTTAAAATCTAAAGCTCATTCACTTTAGCCATATATTCACACCTTCCTCGCTCACACTCAATGTTACCCCATAGCTTCACAATTATGAAACTCTCTAGTATGCAAACCTAGCATTTCAACACCACGGCCTTGAGATTCTCTCTCCCAAATCAATCTTCTCCCACACAATGACAAGGAAACTAAAAAATTCATTTCTCCAAAGACTAAATGCTTATGACGATTTGTGACATTTACCAGGAATTTTTGGACATGGTCACAAATGAGAGAGGCATCACCCCTTCCGAGGTTTTCCCCTCAAAAAGCAAAATACTAACCTAAAATTCCCTAGAAGCTTCTTCTACCAAATTGAATCATTGAACCTTTTCATTTATTTGACTCAGAGTCCTGGTCCTTCACTTCTAAAAAATTTTGGCTTAACATAAAAACAGCTTAGATAATATACCTTATTGGCATAAAATCAGATTAATTTTTCAAAATTGATAATGTTCATAAAACTATGTTCCATTACTCTTCCTCGTTGCTTAATGTTGAAAGTTATTAGCATGATTCATGCAAAAGTAAAATACAACTAAACAACAATTTTAGTCCTAAATATTGATGCTGAATACTTATCCAATCATCCGTCATTTTCTTAGTCATAAAGAATTAAATAGATCAAATTTCTTAACCAAACAAAAGTTTTTTTTAGAAGTCCTTCTAGGCTCCAAAAATTCCGACTGCTCCCCAAAACTCTGCTTTTTTTTATTATTTTTTTGCTGTGCTGGCAGTGAAGAAAATATACTACACACAAATGTCGCCGTCATTTTGCGATGATTTTTTTGATATGAGGATAAAGATTTCCCACAAGCACAAGCCCATATGTTTAATTACCCCTCCTGATAACAGGAGAACACTTTCGATTAAAGCTGATCATTAAGAAAAGAATATTCATTTAATAGCAGTAGACTTAGGATTTAAGCTGTGAAATTTTTCACTTGATGGTGGGGGAAATGGTGACGAAACTCGATCAATATCTAATGGTTCTGTCATCTCGGGTCTTTATGGTACCTAATCTACTTAGTCATAGAAGTTAGTCGATCCAAAATTCTTGTCAGCAATCATAGGTTGTCTCGTCCAAGAATACTTTGTAGATCAGTGGTAGAATTTGTTCGAGGGAACAAATTCCAATCCACCTTAACAGACTGAAGATTTTCTGTCAATTAATTGTACCCTTATGGTTCACAACTCAAAGGGTAGAAAGTCGTTGGAAAACATAATTGCAGCCATAATCGTATTATAATAATGTCATTTGGCGGCAACCACCAAGTCAGAAGACTCTGGTCGTAATTGTTATTTTGAAGTGTCATTTGGCAGCAAAACCACACAGACAGAGAATTTGGTCTACGTCCTTACTGGCATGAAATTGCTTTAATTGTAAATATAGGGATGTAATTGATATGACATTCACTCTTTGTGAGCAGAAGTCAATCAAAAGTTTGTCACTCTCGACCAACATTTGCAGAGAGTGGATGGAAATTGCTCCAAGTCTTTAGTGTTTAATTTTAAATTAGATGTTTTGATTGATTACTTCCAAAATTTTTATTTAAGAGAATAACCCCTACAACTGAAATCTTTAAAAAACATAACTAACAGAAGATCAAGTTTGTAATTGAAATAATTGAATTCAAAATAAACTTTGAAAGATTATTTTAAAATAAACCACTCTGGTTGAAATCTTCTACTAACTCGGCCATCATTGGGGTTTTATGCCTTTAAAACATTTATATTTGAAAGGGACAGTTAATTTCATTATTTTAGATTATTTAGGGCTTAGAGCTTGTCGACTCCCTCCCTTCATGAAGATCACAATAAATGATTTTGACTTGTAAATTCTTATTTTAAGATTTTATCATTTACTTCAAAATTACTAGACTAATCAACTCCAATACATGTGAGGAGGACTGGAATAGTTGGGTAAAACTTACAACCTTATCTTATAGACAAGGTGGTCTAGTAAACTCAAGCAGCATTCTCGAACCTAGTATTTGAACATTCAAAACAAGGGTTAGGACACATGCGGGCATTTATGTTTCATATATTCGAATAACTTAAATAATTTGAAGACTTTGAAGGCTTGTGCAACCTTTAAACTATAATCATGATTTACAATTTGGGTTGAGAGATTTTGAAATCATGTATATGATTCTAATCTAAATGAATCTCTTAAGACATACACAATTCAAGAGAGTACAAACTAAATCTCAAAATATTTTTATATATTCCTAATCATCGCATTTGACTTAAGAAAAACAATGAAACTCGTATAGCCTTTAAAGAAGTTAGCCATACGAAACTAAAAGCTTTGATTTGGATATTATTTGACTAGAGTGCATGTAATATTACACTTCGAGCTTTAAGGGACCGTCTTTCTGTTCACTTGTAAGTGTATTGTGTATCTGATGGCTGGATTTTAAGATGTCAAAAAGCTTCATATTTAAAATATTTTTCATCCCTGGGAGCCTAAGTTCGAAAACACAATTTAAAATTGATTTCCAAAACCTAGAAATATAAGTTCAAAAAGCTTAATTTAAAAATATTTTCAGAATTATAAGCCTAATGTTTAAAGCCCAAATTTTAATATTATTAAGCCCTAAAAGTCTATGTTTCACAAGCCCAAAACTTCAAATATTATTTAACCTAAGAAGTCTACTCCAAAAGCCCAAGACTTTAAATATTTTTTTTTGAAATCCTAAGAGCCTACATTTTAAAAGCTCGAATTTTCAAATTATTTTAAAATTTTAAATGATTCACATTTTATGATATTTTATAAGCATAAAAATACCAAAATTTTAACCTATGATTCACATTTTTTGTTATTTTAAAAATGTAAAATTTTGAAAATTTTAAATTATTTATAGGTATAAATCACTAGAAATTTTGACAGCATCTCAGAGTCGACCTTCGTTTGGGGGCATAAAAGAAAGTTAATATTCTCATCTGTCTCAAGAGACTCATTGGTTAATATCATGAGACACTGCAGTAAAGGAGTAAAACAGAACATTTAACCTTTGATCTCAAAAGACGCAATGGAATTTCAATATAGCTAGATAAAATGTCAAATCAGAAACCAGCATTTCCTGAACAGTATCTAAATCCCACAGATAGTTACTCACTTTTCCAACGAACGGGTATTTTAAAATCCCAATTTTAAAAGGTGTTTTTCAAACGAATTCATGGTTTTTCCTGAACGGCACTTAATTCCCGCTGACAAATGCTCGTGCATCCTCGAGTATCCTTTACAAAAATTTTCCTACTGCCCCAAAGTTATATAATTTCGAGCTCCAATAGTGTTGACAGCAACAAACTCAATGACGGCGACGAGGAAAATAAAATAAAAGCACAACGCAGATATTTTTCTTTTTTTATATAATTTTAATATAAAAATGCAAAGAGCAAATTAAGCAATTAAAAAGTTTAGGTCACTTCTTTTGATCGGGTGAGTGAAGTATAAGGGGTGGTCGGGCTCAGGTTAGTGGGAGGAGTAGCTCAGTTTAGCCAACAGCGAAAGGGATCAGCAATAGACATGCG